CACAAAACTAATATTAAAACAAATTCACAAAAACTAATATTAGAACATCTGTTACCTCAATCACAGAATTTATTAAGGTAGAAAAATTCATAAATACTTCATAGCAAAACAAGCAAATGAGATGTATACAAGATCATGGAAGCTAATTGACTAATATAAACTACTAGTGCTTCAGACACATGGTAGCACAATACCTTCCACATCATTTAACTCTGACATGAAATTGGTTGTAAGATATGTTACATATTATATGAAAAATCTTTTGGGTATAGAAGATAAATACTCAGCAATTTTTGAATATTGATTAGAAGACATACTGATTGAAACATTTAAAAATTTAATAAGTGCATCTTAGAATTAATATTTTAAAATCCTGGGTCACAACTAAAAACTCAATAGAATTCATTTCTATGGCAGAAATGAATGGTTAACAAATGTTAGAGCTCTGTATGAAAGTTAAGTAATTATCTATGATTACATATAATTGTAGATAATTACAGATTACCTTACATAAACATTATGCCTAATTGACTTATTGATATCTGTTAGTGAAAATTTTGACTGAGGCTGATCCCTTATTTGAGATATAAAACAAGTATAAAACCTAAATATGAAAAATCCTATACATCAACTTATTGTTGTGCTGTCAGTAAACATATTCTCATTATGATTTATCATTTATAGAATACTTGCATAATTTTTAAATCTTATTCTTAGAATCATAAAAATAAAGGTTAAAAATGATAGATTGCATATTTAAATGCAAAGCATATGTATTCATCTTTTACCCATTATTTCCTGTTAAAGAAATGAGTACTGGGAAGAGGAAATACTGGGGAATGATAGAGACCAAATTATAAAGATTGTTATAGTGTGTGTATGATATACACTAACAAATCCCACTATTGTATATAATTATAATGCAGAATAAAAAATTAAATACAGAAAACACAAGTAACTAACAAACTCTTCTGGTTGCACAGGGAGTGAAGTATGTTCTTTTTTTTTTTTTTTTTACAAATAAAGATGATGTTCTGGATACTAAAATACTTGGGGACATTTTTTAACATACACAAAGGCCAAATCACAAAGGTTATATTTGTCATAACTTTCTAAGTTCAGGAAACCAGAATAACCATCTTTAATGAGAACATATATCGTAGCATTTCTTTGTAATTACCAAATACTATTCTTTTTTTTTTTCTTTTTCCATTTGGTGCTAGAGATTGAACCCAGAGCTTCATGGTAAGGACACATTCCACCTCTAGGCTACATACCCAGCTCGTAGGTGCTATTCTGTTTTGCACACCCAGAATTATTTCCATGCAACTGTTTGTTTGTTTAATTTTTTTCTGTAGTTGTAGATGGACAGAATGCCTTTACTTTATTTGTTTGTTTTTATGTGGTGCTGAGGATTGAACCCAGTGCTTCATGCCAGCTAGGCAAGCGCTCTGCCACTAATCTACAGCCCCAACCAACTATTTGGTGTGTGTGTGTGTGTGTGTGTGTGTGTGTGTGTGTGTGTGTGTGTATACATACATACATTCATATTAAATGATTCTCTAGGAGTGAGAAGGACTTCATGTATTTTTGTTATATTTACAAAAATCAATATAGGAGGGAAAACATAGTGATCCTCAGAGGGACAGACACATATTATGCAAAATGGCCTTGGAGGCATCTTCTTACTCCTCTGGATCTGAGAGCCACAGGCTCTGGACACAAACTGTTTTAAGGCATTTAATGCTGCAGGAGCTTATTTGCTGTTCATTGTAGGAAAAAAATGCTCTCAGTATTGTTTGCTCATTTACATAACATTCCTGTAACTCAAAACTACCCAAGCAAAGATTATCAGTGTGTGAAAATATTAATGTTTTCTACCTGAGTTATCGGAATTGCCTGAGATCACACCATAAGGTGATCACAGTGAACACTGTGTGGACTGATTCTTAATATTTTCAGCAACCTTATGAATATATACTAGATTATTCTGATTTTACAAACAAGGAGGCTGACATGACACACAGACTTTTGCCAGGTATACAACTTGTAAATGATAAACTGTATAAATACACCAGAACTGTTTAAGGCTAAAAAAAAATACTAATTGGAAAGAATATGAGGGATACTACTGTACCACCATGTATACCACTATCACAATCATCAGCCTAAATATCATGGTTCTACATAAACTGGATAGAGGAGTGTTAGTAAAGGTTATGTAAAGAATACAAGGGTGATCCATTTTAAAAGGTGTTGGGAAAAAAGTGAAAATGTTTTCCTTACAAATGTTTCTGAGTCTTTAATGTGCTATCATGCTACCAATGCATCTAAGCACCAATCACTTCTTCACTGACTTCTGCACGCAATAGCATCTTCTGGGGATAGAAGTCTAGGAAGCATTCTGAAATGACTCAACTTGAATATCCTGAGATTATTCAGCTACCTATGCAAAAGCTCCATGGACTAGCAAATATCACACATCTTTCATGCAAACATTGTTATCTCTCTCGTCCCCAGAAGAAATTTTCTTTTAAAATGTTTTTTAAATTTCTGATATATAGTTGTTAAGACATTATTCCAAAATTGCAAATAAAATTCCGGTCTTTTTTGAAGCAAACACAAAGGATATATCCTGGCCAGGGCCAAGGGAACAGAAAGCAGACAGTTCTGCAGTCCAAAACACTGAATGCGGGTTGGGGGGGGGTCACTTAAAAACAGAAAAATCACAAAGGAGAGGGGTGGGAGAGGCAAGTACAGTGATAAATACATTCTCAGAATTGGCATCTTTTTGGAAGTAAGGAAGTAAGCCAATGTCTATCCTATAGTCTAAAGACATTGTGGTCAGGGTGCAAGTGAGTATCAGCTTCTTTGTGAGTGGACTCATGCAGAAAGAGGGGCCAATTCTGTGGAGGGTAAGATGTCTGAACAGGATGGAATCAACCCAATCTAACTTTCAAATCAGCCCATAACATCGTAGCTATATAATGTTTATGATATAATCTATAATTAGGTAAATAGAACATGTGTATATGCATACATATCAGAAAATACATACATATATATGAATATAAGCACAATATCATAACTTACATATTCAAATAAGTTGTTTTAAGTGGCCATGTTGGGAATCCATGCATTTCCCAAATAAAATTTAAAATACAATTTTGGTGTTAGCTTTAAAGAATTACATCTTAAATATTCTTATGATTAACTCATTTGTTCAAAGAGGAAATTTTTCTCTAATTAACCAAAATTATTTGGAGCAAGTAGGAAATGAGTCTATCAAGTAATGGAGTTGATTTTCTTATGAGAGTTAGAAATGGGGTTTAAGAGTAGTTACGTAAGCAAGTTAGAACATGTATGTTAAAAAATATTGGCATTGTTGAAATAGGCACATAGACTAATTGTCATGCCTATATTGGGTAAATCAACACAACATCTAATTTTTATTTAAAATTTATTCTTGTTGGAGTACGTGAAAGGCATATATTTCAATGCATTCAAGCAAATAATTTGTGTGAAATCCTTGAGTAAAATACAATAGATAATAAAGGAAAGGCAAAAAAGAAAGTAAATGCTCTGACTTCTACCTGCTCAAGCTAAAAATACATAAATAATTTCACTGCATAAAACAAACAAACGAGAAACGTTTTCTTGAAGTAAGGGTATATCATGGAATGGCAAATATCACATATGTTTCATGCAAACATTTCTCTCTCTCATCCCCAGAAGAAATTTATATATATATATAATAAATTATATATATAATAAATTCTCCTCTAGGAGTGAGAAGGAGAAAGGGAATATCATCTGTTTTGAATTTCTTGATATCCTGGCATGTCCCTTCAGGTATGTCCTCAAAACTTTGGGACTTCTCAGACACATTAAATAACAAAATAAGTGATGAGGGTTATCTTCTGATGGGCATGAATTTGAATCTCAGTCCACATATGGACAAGTTACCTAATATATCCAAGTCTCAGTTTCCTCATCTATAAACTTATATAAATGAGGAGATTAAAGGTGGCAATGCAAAGAATACACTCGGACTGATTAAATGATAATAATTTATTTCAAAATTGAAATTTTTAAATCATATTTTTTTTTAATTTGTGAAAGCACTTCTTTGCCTGGATCTCAAACTGTCCTTGCTTAGAACTGTCAGACCTTCAAACAGTATTTACAAAATATATTCAAAGCACAAACCACTGTACCAGAGAACAGAGCTATAATGATGAAACAAAAAGGTGTGTCCTCAAGTACTTTATGGTTGATTGGAGAAATGAAGCTCATAGCACATTATAAAACCAGTTAGAAAAATATTCAAGAAAGACACCCATAAAGAACTATAGAAAATCACACAAAGGCTAGTTCTGACCAAGCCAGGAAAGTCCTCACACTAAGGGACAATGAAAGGAAGAACTGGAGGATATCTCAAGTTGAAATGTTTGATAATGACAGTTTAATTAATAGGAATATCACTAATCAAAGAATGATGACCCCAAAGTGTAGAGTGTTTTCAGGGAAGTGCAACTGGTTCAGTTAATTTACAGTGCTTAAATGAAGTCACAATTAGAATGTAGACCCTGGACAGATTTGAGAGCTCTGGAATACTGAGGGAATAAGAATGGACTTTATTTTATGAGCAATGCTGAGCTAGTGAAAGTTTTTTAACACAGGAGTGGTGTGATGAGTGCAATATTTTAGGAAGCCTAAAATGGAAACGTCCTATAGTGTATGTTGAAAGAAAAAAAATTCAAAGTGAAAAGACCAATAAAGAAGTTATTAAAGTGATCCACAGGAAAATGGAGGCATACCTCTGATAATGGAAGAAAGGGTATAATGATGATTGAATGGTGGAGATGGGCTGGGCATGGTGGTTCATACCTGTAATCCCAGCAATTTAGGAGACTAAGGCAGGAGGATCACAAGTTGCAGGCCAGCCTCAGCAATTTAGTCAGGCCTTAAGCAATTTAGTGAGACCCTGTCTCAAAACAAAAAATAAAAAGGGCTTGGGATATGGCTCAGTGATTTAGTGTCCCTGGGTTCAATCCCTGGTTAAAAAAATAAAAAAAAAAAATTTAAAAAAAAGGAAGAGAAGGAGGGAGAGTAAAAGACTTCTTTGGAGGTTCCATTTCCATTTTGACACATTGAGCACAATAATATAACTTAGATTTTAGTCTTTTTGTTTGGTGATTTTGAGCATGTTAATGGAATTAACCAAGGTAAGAGGCTTTGAATCAACTAAAGGAGTCACAAAGAAGCGCTTATCTAAGAAAGGGGTAACAAAAGTGGGAAGACAAGAACAAGTATTCGAGAAACACTTGGAAATAACTAAATATAAAGTTCAAATCACCAGTTCATCTGATTTCTGTCTTTGACTGTCATTTGTCTTTGGTGTTTGCTACTTGATCTTGTCCACAATTTCTATCTTAACTTACCAGATCCCTGGCATGTCTAATAAAGGAAGGGTTTCTTCACATCATTTCTCTTCCAAGATGCTGAGGATGGGTAGATACAATTCAGCTAGTATACCCGCACCTCCCCCCACACACACACACAGTCAGATGTTTTTAAACATGACCGTTGGTCACTCTCAAGAGAGTATATTAAAATGGGTGAGTGACCATCTATTGTGTTGACTCTAAACCCCTTCAAGTTAGATACTTATGAATAATAATGATGAGTAAACAGTCAGACTGGCTAAATACTCAATAGTCTTCTGTGATATGCAAAGGAGATTATGCAACCAATGGAATATTTTTGAGTGCTGAATTGATTCTGAGTATTGGGTTACACACTGTAAACTGAAAATCTATTCAAGTCACTACAGTCTCTTGAACTTGATATCTTAAATGACTGTTTATTCTTCCACTGTAAGAATAACTTAAAGATTATTCTCCTACAGCAGTTTATGTATTTTAAACTTTCACAGAAATATTTAGACCTACACTGATATTATGAGCAATATGACAAAATAGTCCCTTTATTTTTCTTCAGCAATTATTAATATTTTTCCAAATGTTTCCAACCTTTTATTGGCCCTTATGTTTTTAACTGAATATTATACAGCAAATATCAAATGTGTTATTTGAAAATAATTCTGTATGTATCTCTAACTGATAAGAACTATTTTGTCATAACAAACATTCCTTTGTTATAGCATAAATCCTTAATATTATGTATTATACATCCTATGCACATATGTCACCAATTGTGTCAGAGATATCCCTTTATGGTTAGTTTATTCAAATAAGGATCCAAACAAGATTCACACATCCTTTTTTGGCTACCCTGTCTTTAATATATCATGATTTTGTTATTTGGTTGTTACGTCTGCAATAGTCTTCTCTTAATTTGTCTCAACATTTATTTATTGGAAAAACAAATTTTATTTCATGGGTTGTCATACTTTTCTACTTTTAAAACAAGCCTATAACTCACTCAACATTATTCAGCTATTGCATCCTGAGTAATTACTATGTATAGGACATTGTACTAGGTGCTAGGTACGATTCAAAGATAACTATAATTTATGGTCTCTATCTCTAAGACTTTACAATCTGGAGGAAAAGGAAAACTAAAAATGCACATCTATAGTGACAAATAGTGGCAATATAACTTAAGTGGTATTAATACTATAGTTTTAAAGGCAGATGTATGCATTAGAAGATGAGGTCAGTCTTTGTTGTGAAAGTCAGCCAGTGAGATAGATGTGTTAGAATGACCAGCAGTTCAAAAAGTTTGTTTGGGAGGGCATTAAAAAGGAAGTTCATTTTATGATTAAAAAAACTTGGGGGAGGGGGAGCCATAAATCTGAGTGGTGGGAAAAGAGAGATATTTTTAAGGGGTTATTAAAATAATTCAGTGAAAGAAGAACATTTGCAAAGGATATGCCTAAAAGATAAGTAGGGGACAGGTTTGTGAGGATATTAAATGACAGGCTAAATAGCATGAACACTGTCCTCTAGAACAGAAAATAACTAGCTCCATCCATTTTTCCTTATATGGGAGACTTGCTCATTATGTAAACCTAGATATTTCATTAGCAAGCAAAATACATCAGCTCATTTCATAAGGGAACTTAAAAAACTGTTGATGTACTCCAATAGCATCATTTTCAAATATTTATAGCAAATTGGCAACATAATTTGATGTTTTATTTTGCCCAACAGCCAAGATTCTCCATTTAGAGGAAAACAAATTGAAACTGATTTAACCAACACCTATTACATGGCAGCTGAGGAAAACTTCATAAAGCAAGAAGAATGAATGTAACACAGTAAAGAAAACAACTACTCAATAAATTCAACATATGAGAGATGGGAGATGACTCTAGTGAAGATAGGGATACTAGTTATGCAAACCTCAAACTCTAAATTTTCATCTCTTATGAAAATTCAGTGGTGTTTATAATATGTATGTTTTCTACCAGTTGTAAATATGTATTAGCCCCAAAATTTTCTTTACTAGAATAATGCTAATTGAGTTTCATTATTAAAATATTCTCACATGAGAATTAAATCAAAAACAAAAGAAATTAAATTAAAGAAAGCATACATTGAACTTAGTTGCTTTATTGGTAAGTATCTTCTTTCTGTATGTTCATTCTTTAATAATTATTGGACATGGTATTCTACATCATTATATACCTTTTCATGTTATTGGGTGCCCACATATGCCAGAATTTGTGCTAGGTTTTAGAGTAAAATTGTACACAAGATATAGTAGTAGTATTCCAGAGGCTTGTATTCTAATATACATGATCCAACACATATGTATAGAAGTAAAATTATGGGCAGGATTGAAATAAAGAAAGGGATTAGTTTAAAGTTTCTCAGCAGCAATACTACAGACATTTTCAATCAGCTATTCCTTGAAACTTCTTAGTGGTAGAGAGACATCACCTCCTCAATTCTGAGAACCAAAATTGTCTCCAGATATTTCTAAATGTTCCCTGGGGACTTAGTACAAATTGCCTGCTGTTTTGAGCCACTGGATTAGATGGAAAGTGCTATATGCACTTTGCTAATGAAGACAACTTCCAGGTGAGGAAATCAAGGACAGTTGATAGAGGTGTAGGGGCTGATGTGACTAAGTGGAGAAGAGAAAAGCATTTGGGAGGAAAGAATATAATGAATAGTGGCTAAACTTAAGATGGAAAGGCAGTGGGTAGATATAGAGTATGGTCAGGAGTCATATATAGAACTTAATGTTTGGGACGTGGTTAGTTTTAAAAAATTGCCTGATACTGTAAAAAGCAATCAAATGATTGAAGTCTTTGAATATAAAACAAGGAGTACTTTTTTTTTTTTTTAGTTTCGTAGACATGTCATTTGAACACATAAGGAAAATGTATAAAGCATCATTTTAGAAATGTTAATGTGGTATTTGTGGATAGAATGATTGATCAATAAGAATAAGTCCATTGAGATATAGGATTCAGTTGAGGACAAACTTTGGCAGAAGTTTATATGTGGGGCTATGTATGTCTCAGAATGAAGTCAGAGAAGGGGAAGAACAAGTAAGGAATTCTATTCTGTAATTTGCTTTTATGTTTGACGTCAATTGTTGTTGGCATTGTTTTCTCAGAGCGAACACTTCTTGATAGAGCTGATTGGCAGATGTGCCCAGATTCTCTAGTACTCCAGCAAGTGGAAAGTGGAATGGTAAGGCCAAAGATGGTTTTATTGCAAACAATAACACTCCAGTGATAGAGACAAGATGAATCCAGACTTTTGAATAATCTTGTTAAAGGTAATATTCAATTTAAATTCTAAGCTCTGAGATAGAAAAGGGGTTCACTACTGAATGAAGAGTTCTAAAATTAAAATTTATCCACATTTTAGGGTTGTCACACAGAAGAAGACATTTGAAAGTCTCATTATCTCTCCCATACTTCTAAGAGTTTTAATCTAAGTTTATAACTGCATTTCCGTATTTGCTGTTATAAATATTAGGGCAGAACATAATTCCATTTATGTGATAAATAGCCACTCTAGAACTCCTGAGAACCTCCGTTTAAAGGACTAAAACATAAAGTAAATTTACTCGTGGTCAATAACTCTACTGTTGATTTGCTCTAAAAAGACTTACTACGCCTTTGAACACTAAAACCTCTCCTGTAGAGATAACATATTTAAAATAGGTATTAAAAAGAAACAAGTCTCAAAGAGAGAGGCTCAGGTAATCATCACGTTCCCTCTATCCCCACATCTTCTTCCATTCTTGCCTAAGTCACCACTAACTTACATACAAGATAGAAATATTTTTGAATCATGGAAGGCTTTTATTCTATTTTAAATGAGCTAGTATGTTTATTTTGGAAAATTTGAAAACTTGCATTTTGAGATTATGACTGAATTTGGTAGACATCATACCACTGAAATGCACTTTTTGAAAGATATAGAATAAATGAAGTAATAAAAGATCATCTAGAGAGTAAAAACTGAGAACCTAGGGACACTGGTGGGGGAAAAATTAACTACAGGCATAGAAATTTTGATTTTGTTAAATTAAAAACTCTAGTTTCATAAGCAAGAAATTAAATATGGTAGAAAATCTAGAGTTTTTTTAGCAATTAGATATAAAATAGGTAATAATTGAAAACTCAAATAAGTGAGACAAGAGGCTGCTATAATAATCTAGATGCTGTTCTTTTATCAAAAGCAATTTTTAAGCATCCACAGTATTAGTGACACTTTATTAGATATGAATTAATGCTTACTTGAACTAGGGCAATGCCTATAGAAATGAAAATGATCCTATTGAATATTAATAAACTGATTAAACCAGCTCAGGACCCTGTTTTGTTTTGTTTGAGTCCTTGAGTGCTTAAGTTTACCAGATTTTACATAGTTGAAAACTATCCACAGTATTTGGATGCTTTCTAAAAATAAATTATATCAAGAGCAATGTGTAGAATTTAGCCATTAGTTGCAGATCAACTACTTGTCAGTCTGTACCAAAATGCCATATGTTTCTGAGTTAAACAGCACCAAGGTCTAAAGAAGAGGGCAGGGAAAAGACAGGAGAGAACAATGCACCCACCTCCAGGTTCTGTCAAAGGCTCTATTTTTGTCAGTCACCAGAGAATTGAAATCCATCCCAGTCCTGCAAGAATGCTTTTAGTGAGCTGTGACTGTATTCATTAAAAGAAATGAATGAAACCAAATGGCTACTATTATTGATCATGTTTGCCCTTGTGGCTTTCTACTGGAAGTGGGTTTTGAGGGTCCCAAAAGCTATTACCATGTTTTTCCCCTTCATTTTATCTGCAGCATTAAGGACACAAGTCATTCTAGCCACATCTAATCCCTGCTATTGGGAGGGATAGGTGATGAATACAGGAATTTCATTTGAAAACGTTTTTAATGCTTCTATATAATTTTAAATGTATATTGAACTAAATTAGATGAAAAAACAATTAGATTATTAGAAAACTCAGTTTCAGTCCCAATTTGACTTAGCGCATGGAGGGGTATAAAATATAAAAATGTGATTGAACAATTAAATCTTGTAGTCATTATTCTACTTTATCAGTATAATGGTCACCATATGGAATTTTTTAAGATTAATTATATTAATTACAATAATATGCTATTTTGGTACTTTGCAAAATTGTTAAATGATATAAATGAGTTTTCTTTTATTAAAGTCCTTTTATGGAAGAACTTTAGGAAAATTTAAACATAGTAAAAATATTGGTCTACTTTTTAAAATTTTTATTGCCTATATAGAGCACAATTTTTTATATCTCTGTTTGTATACACTGTATATGCACACCAATTTGTGTCTTCATACATGTACTTTGAATAGTAATGATCTTCACATTCCACCATCATTAATTATCCCATGCCCCCTCTGTTCCCCTCCAAACCTTCTGCCTTAACTAGAATTCCTCTATTCCTCCCACACTCCCTGTCCCTATCCCACTATTAATAAGCCTCCTTATATCAAAGAAAACATTTGACACTTGGTTTTTGGGGGATTGGCTAACTTCACTTAGCATTATCCTCTCTAACTCCATCCATTTACCTGCAAATGTCATGATTTTATTCTGTCTTTTATTGCTGAGTAATATTCCATTGTGCAAATATGCCACATTTTTTTATTCATTCATCTATTGAAGGGGATCTAGGTTGGTTCCACAGTTTAGCTATTGTGAATTGTGCTTCTATAAACAATGATGTGGCTGTGTCCCTGTAGTATGCTGTTTTTAAGCCTTTTGGGTATAGACCGAGGAAAGGGATAGCTGGGTTAAATGGTTGTTCCATTCTTAATTTTCCAAGAAATCTCCATACTGCTTTCCATATTGGCTGCACCAATTTGCAGTCCCACCAGCAGTGTATGAGTGTACCTTTTTCCCCACATCCTCGCCAACACTTATTGTTGTTTATCTTCATAATAACTGCCATTCTGACTGGAGTGAGATGAAATCTTAGAGTGGTTTTGATTTGAAATTCTCTAATTGCTAGTGATGATGAACATTTTTTCATATATTTGTTGATTGATTGTATATCATCTTCTGAGAAGTGTCTGTTCAGGTCTTTGGCCCATTTATTGATTGGGTTATTTGTTTTTTTGGTGTTTAGCTTTTTGAGTTATTTATATACCCTAGAGATTAGTGCTCTATCTGATGTGTGAGGGGTAAAAATTTGCTCTTAAGAGGTAGGCTTTCTATTCACCTCACAGATTATTTCTTTTGCTGAGAAGAAACTTTTTAGTTTGAGTCCAACCCATTTATAGATTCTTGATTTTAATTCTTGCACCAAAGGAGTCTTATTAAGGAAGTTAGGGCCTAATCCCACATGATGGAGAGAGATTTTTCTTTTATTAGTCACAGGGTCTCTGGTTTATTCCTAAGTCCTTGATCCATTTTGAGTTTAGTTTTGTGCTTGGTGAGAGATAGGGGTTTAATTTCATTTTGTTGCATATGGATTTCCAGTTTTCCCAGCATCATTTGTTGAAGAGGCTCTTTTCTCCAATGTATGTTCTTGGCACCTTTGTCTAATATAAGATAATTGTAGTTTTGTGGGTTAGTCTCTGTGTCCTCTATTCTGTACCATTAGTCTACCAGTCTGTTTTGGTGCCAATACCATGCTGTGTTTGTTACTATTGCTCTGTAGTATAGTTTAAGTTCTGGTATAGTGATGTCACCTGCTTCGCTCTTCCAGCTAAGGATTACCTTAGCTATTCTGGGTCTCTTATTTTTTTCAGATGAATTTCATGATTGATTTTTCTATTTCTATGAGAAATGTCATTGGAATTTTAATCAGAATGCATTAAATCTGTATATTTCTTTTGGAAGTATGGTTATTTGATAATATTAATTCTGCCTACAGCAGAATTATTGTAATTCTAACCAAGAGCAAGGTAGATCTTTCCATCTTCTAAGGTCTTCTTTGATTTCTGTCTTTAGGGTTCTGTAATTTTCATTATATAGATGTTTCACCTCTTTTATTAAGTTGATTCCCAAGTATTTTATTTTTTATTTTATTTGAGGCTATTGAGAATGAGGTAGTTTTTCTCATTTCCATTTCTGAGGATTTGTCACTGATATATGGAAATGCCTTTGATTTATGGGTGTTGATTTTATATCCTGCTACTTTGATGAATTCATTTACTAGTTCTAGGAGTTTTCTGGTGGAACTTTTAGGGTCTTCCAGGTATAGAATCATATTATCAGCAAATAGTGGCAATTTGAGTTCTTCTTTTCCTATGTATATCCCTTTAATTTCTTACATCTGTCTAATTGCTCTGGCCAGTGTTTAAGAACTATGTTGAATAGAAGTGGTGAAAGAGGGCATCCCTGTCTTGTTCTAGTTTATAGAGGGAATGCCTTTAATTTTTCTCCATCTAGAATGATGTTGGCCTGGGGCTTAGCATAGATAGATAGCCTTTATGATGTTGAAATATGTTTCTGTTATCCCAAGTTTTTCTAGTGTTTTGAACATAAAAAATGCTGTATTTTGTCAAATGCTTTTTCTGCATCTATTGAGATGATCATATGATTCTTTAAGTCTATTGATGTGATGAATTACATTTATTGATTTCTGTATGCTGAACCAATCTTACATCCCTGGGATGAATTCCACTTGATCATGGTGCACGATCATTTTGATGTATTTTTGTATTCAATTTGCCAGCATTTTATTGAGAATTTTTGCATCTATGTTCATTAGAGATATTTGTCTGAAGTTTTCTTTTTTTGATGTGTCTTTGCCTGGTTTTGAAATCAGAGTGATATTAGCCTCATAGAATGCATTTGGAAGTGCTGCCTCTTTTTCCAATTCTTGAAATAAATTGAAGAGTATTGGTATTAGCTCTTCTTTAAAGGTCTTGTAGAACTCGGTTATGTATCCATCGGGTCCTGGGCTTTTCTTGGTTGGTAGACTTTTGATGATGTCTGCTATTTTGTCACTTGAAATTGATCTGTTTAAATTGTCTATATCATCCTGATTCAATTCAGACAAATTATATGACTCTAGAAATTTGTTGATGCCTTCAATATTTTCTATTTTATTGGAGTACAGGTTTTCAAAATAATTTCTAATTATCTTATGTATTTCTGTAGTGTCTGTTGTGATATTTCCTTTTTCATCATGTGTGTTATTGGTTTGAGTTTTCTCTCTCCCTCTCTTCTTTAGCATGGCTATGCATCTGTCAA